CGTTAGTCACCATAGGATGACTCAGGAAGGGAGGGTTTTTTGTTCCATTCTCATAAACAGAACAAGCACGTGTGTGAATAGTGAAGAATCGTGAGCAGCCAGCGATGGTACCCCATGTCATCCACCGAGACAAGGTATAGGGGATAACCAAAGCATATCGAATCCAAGAAGCCCGGCGGATAGTGTATCGAAAGACGTAGAACATGTAATGGCGGTTGTCAGCCAGAGTGAAAGGGTGTATAATGGTGTTGTAGCGGACGACGGCGAGCGAGAGCGCGATGGTCGCAAGGAGGTAGAGGGGCCAGATTGTAAGCTTAATCCCAAAGATGAAGCTGGCAATTTCCAGTGGCTTCGACAGACGTGGGTAATTTCTGTCCGAACTGCCAGTTGCCGAGGTTTTCTTGGAGCTTCCTGAGCTTCGTGATTTGCTGAAGGAAAAGGTGGCCGGCTCTGCATTATTCTCTGCCTCAGGGGCTTGCTTGCTAGTTGGAGTAGGCGATCCAGCCCGCGGCATTATTCGCAGTATTATGTTAATGATGGGTAGGGGATATGGTACCAGAAGTGGCAGAGAGAAGAAAGCAAAGAAAGGCCATATGTAGAGCATCTGTGGGAGGTGAATGGTAGCAATATGGTTGGATTTGTCACCTTGTGTCGTTAGCCACAGGCTCGACACGATGCAGAGAGAGTACTTACCGAGGACAACACCACCGTTCCATGCCACGAAGCCACCAAATGAGACAAGGACAGCAACGTAAGGCCATATCTGTCTAATGACGCGGATTGGGTTGCAAATCGCTGCGATTCCCAGACTCAATACACAGAAGAGCATGTCTGATCTTCAGTCAGTGACAAGTTGACTTATAGGAAAGAGCTGTTTTTTACCATCTGGCCACATCATGTGCAATGGGGGGTCATGAATATCTCCCAGGGAATACCTCCAGGCAAAGTACTTGATCTGCTCAAAAAGTGTCAAGATAACTGGCTGATCAACCTGCTCCGGCCGTAAGGTCTTGAGAGCATGGATAGCTTCTAGACCACCCATATACACAACGACCCAGAAGACATTGGTCTGGCGAAAGAAAAGTGAGAAAATTCCAAGGAAGATTGTTGTTAGATCGTTCAAGGCAGAACTACGATCTCGACCAATGCGCTTCAAGTGGTTCAAGTACGCGACCAGGACGGCTGCAGTAGATGCAACATCGGTGTAGTAAAGTCCAGAGAAGAAGAAGAGAAGCGGAAACAGGGCGACGTTAAGCGCAGTGTGAACTGCATATTGTGAAGTATTGCGTAGCCGGGTCGAGGTATGAGCTTCATAAAGACGTGCCTCGATCTGTTGACGGCACTTCAGGACCAAGAAGGCGAGTATCACCAGAACAATGACGTTGGTAGCCCGTAGACTCTTGACATCGCAGAAGTATCCACCCACTGAACTACTAGGTCGGACGACTCCAGGCGTTATAAGAGAGAGAAGGTAACTGCACTGGGCTCAGCATTGCTTAGGGGTATAGAAGCGCGTGAAACTCACAGCCCTGGTGGTGTCGTAATCTTGTCGTCCCACTCTTGGAATCTCCCCTGGCAGTATTTCTGCGCCTGCGGTATATGGAAAACTTCATCCTAGCTTGAGTTAGCATCTGTGCAATGGGCATGATATAAGATGAGGCGTACCAGGTAAGGCTCAGGGACCAGTGCTGAGACAATATACAACCAAGAGACGGAAGCGACAGAAAGAAAATAAAAGAAGAAACCCTCTAAGAGCGAGTTAGGGCCTGAAGAGCTCTTGAATCGCCAGGCAAAAAGAGGTAGCGCAATGATGAAGGCTGCGACTGTCTTGTATCCTTGAGATATGTCCATCTTGACAGGTGTTCATCAGCAGTCAGCTGAACGCGAAAGAGATCGTGTTGAAAGAATTATAATCCTCTCATGGCATAAAGAAGCCGAATATTTCTGTTTAGAGAGACAATAATTAGAAAAGGAGAAGGATAAACGAATGGCCAAAGTCAGCTTGAAATTGTATAAGACGGGCAAGCTGTATCTACCTTACATGTAGGAGAGAGAACAGTGTTTCGCAGTGAGTTAGTGGCACTGTACTTTAATGAGTGGAACATCATATCAACAACCCCAAATGGTTCAAAGCAATATCTAAGACCCCAAAGGGTAGGTATTATAGGCTACAATAGTGTAGCTCGAGAACCACTCTATACCTTCCATGCCGTTACAGATGTATTCTTTTGCAAAGGACTTCCATAAGGTGCCAGGCATGTCTCTGGCTACAAGTTAAGCACTTGAACATCAGCCAATCACAAGCCGTACATTTCACAGCAAAATTCAAGGCTCAGAACATGTCTATTGGAATATCTTATACAAGGAGAGCCGGCACCGGCGCTGAACAACGTCTATCTTCCTCAAGTCCACCATATAATTTAGAAAGGCTGTACAGACTATTAGTAACTGACCCCGATGCTTCGTATCATAGTCAATACTTACGTTGTCGGCGGGGTGGATCTCCTTTCGGAAGTAGTTGCCAAGGAAAGGGATCTTCTGTATAGGAATTAATATCGTGGCCAAACAATATCGAGATATGTCCGTTCGTACCTGGAGAACGTCACGCTGCACACGGGGAATACCGTTGGCGAAGAGGAGGACAGCAACAGCGGCGGGGGCACCGTACATAGCCAGACGGGAGCCGCTATAGCCCAGTCAGTTCCCATACACAGCATAAATATCGGTCGTCCAGAGAAGTTCATAATCAAATCCCAATCTCTCATCCGTCATGTCCATCTCAGCCGCGGTTGATCATTCTAAGACTTCGGGGAAACGGAAGGGAGATCGAAACTCGGTTCGCTTGCATATTCGGTTCTCGGCCGTCTTCTCGGTTTAGGATTGTGCACTTACATTCGGAAGGCAGCCTGAGGGGTGAGGCCTGCAACGTTGGGCTGAGCATGGTACCTTTTCCAGAGTATTAGCCAACGTCACTATTTCAATGTGAACCCTTGAGTAGAATTTCGAGAGTCGTAGTTCGCTTGTGCCTTGACAGTGCGCTTCGAATTCGACGTTCGGTGATCGTAGACTGGTAAAACGTACTTAGGACCATAGTTGCTCTTGAATTCCGACATGCGGATGGGAGTCTGGTGAGAATCAGGTCAGTCGATTGCACTCTTTGTTAAAGACGCCTCGAGCCATTCGTGAATATCTGTAGCTCGTTTTCGGCGGTCGTATCGAAGGGTTCGGACGTACGTAGGAGACCATCTTGAATTTTAGGGCGGTAGAAGCCTGTTTCGTCGTTCAATTGCTCGTCGATGTCGTCGTAAAAGAAGGGCCTTGAACTTGGTTGCGCGAGTTTGCCGAACGGGAAAGTTCGGGTTTGTTTGGCCTCAGGCCTAAAAGAAGCTTTGAGGCAGCCGACCAATGATAACCTCAGCTAAAGACCCACCTTTGGCTTTCAAGCTTCGGTCTGCTATAGCAGCTTTGTCTTTGACCTTTCTTTTATTTACTTTCATATCACTTAGTATTGGGATAGTCGTCGTGACCAGCCACGATCTTGTGATGGACAAATATATCGATGGTCACTTCGAGCGACTAGAGAAAGCTCTCGCAAATCTAATTGATTCAGTCACAAAATACCATCCCTCTATACAACAAGGAGAGGAGCTCAATGCAGCCGACCAAGAACTAAGCAGAGGCTTGGAAGAAGGTAATTCATCCAACTCAGCCAGCCATGAGTATTTAGCTAACTTGCTTCTCAGTCCAGACCCACCAGAACAATTATTTACGTATTCAACAACTGCGCGAGTCGTCAAACGCCCTTGATACGCAGATCCGCGATACTCTTTCGAATCTAGCTACTACTCGCAAGGATATCGTGACGACGCAAACCACCACATTTCCTTCTGGCCCAAGCTACCCCATCGCCTACGCAGAGCTGCTCAACTATGCCCGACGTATCAGTAAAACGACTATGCCACCAGCAGGCACCATTAAAGCCGTACCACCGACGGCAGATGTCCCAGAAGTTCAGACTCCAGGCGGTCAAACACCAGCAGCCCAGACCCCAGGACCTGAGTCGCAAGCAGCTTCAGTCATGACACCATCTGCGCCTCCATCGTCTCAGGTTCAAAGCCCGGCAATTATGAATGGCACGCCAGCCGTCTCCCAGGAACCTGCGACTCAACAGTCCTCCATGTCCGCCAACACTGTCCTGCCCAGCGAGTGGACACAGTTCTTGAACCCCTTGACCGACCAGATCTTCCTCCCTTGGCCAAACGACCTTCAGCTTGGCGCTGGCTCCCTTGCTGCTAACCAGCTCCTCCAGGAGCAGGGCATTGATCCCAAGGGCTACGATCCAGCTGAGGAAGAAGAGCGCAAGCGTCGCGAGGAAGAAGAGAGAAAGCAGAAGGAAGAAGAGGACCGTATTGCCCAGGAAGAGCGCGAGAAGAAGCAACGCGAGGAACGCGAGCGCCAGCGCATCGAGAGAGAACGCCAGAGAGAAAAGGACCAAGAGGCCTGGAGACGCGCAAGTTTGGTTGGTGGTCCGGCTGCCCCTGGCGAACAAAGGAGCCCAACTGGACCTCCACAGCAAAAGGCCCAGTTTCAGTTTACTAATCTGGATGATTTGGATGACGATGACGACGACGATTGAGCAGGAGGAAATAAGCCAACGAATTTTTGATATCTATAATAAGCTTAAAAACAATGCAGAACAATACCTCCTCGTCAATAGCCAACACGGCCCTGCTCTGTTGGCACTGGCCTGATTTTGATATCCGTCTAAATGAAAATGAATCTACTCCGTACTCGCAGCGTACTGATGCAACACCACGGATCCTTATCACCATAATCTCGCCGATCTGGCCCTTGTTTGCAGCTTAAAGCACGGCTCATGGTAAACGCGAATTCCAGACGCTGGTCGTACATGTATTTTACAAACACCAAAATTCCGTCTCTTGTTCATTAGTCACTTGTCGTTGATGATCCATTCGTCATAATTGGTGCAAGGTCGTCTCTTAATCAATCTTGATGGACGAGTAGATCTTGCGAACGAACCACCAACTGGCAAAGTAGCCGATGGAGCCTGAAACGGTCAGAATGGTAAATTAAAAAAAGGGGCCAGACGAACTTACCGGTAAGAATGAAAAAGAGGAATGAAATGATGGCACTGTAGCCCATGTAGAGCACAATACCAGCCAGTCCACTCGCCCTGACCTTTGTAACAAGGTACAAAAGACAATTCAAGAAGATATAGCCACCACTCATACCAGCAGCGAGGAAAGATCTCCACTGCCAGTTGTAATTCTCAGCACATAGCAGGAAGTACACCATAAGGATAGTGACAGCAGCGCAGACGACGATCATGAGACCATAGCAGAGGAACAAGAACCCAAACATGTAGTAGATCCTGCTGAACCAGATCGAGTTCATGATGAAGAAGAGCTCGACAAAGATGGCACCGAAGGGGAGAAGACCGACAATGAGCACGCTAGGGACGGGCTTAAGGTAAGTGCTCACAGGAGGAATCTGTCGTGGAATCTGGTTGGTGCGGACAGGGGGCTGGAACTGAGGAGAACGGAATCCAACCCAAGAACCACCGAACGAGAGAGGAATCGAAATAATGAACCAGATAGCAACAATCACAAGCATGGTGGTGAAAGGAACCGCGCCTGAGGACTGCTTGGCCCAAAGGAAAAGGTTCAGGAGGAAGAAGCTGGAGAAGACAATACCGGGGACCAAGGTTGGGGTCAAAGCAATGTTCAGCTTCCAGCTCTCGCCCTGCCATGCCTTGTAAGTTCGAGCAGAGACATAACCACCAACGAAGCCGAGGACAGTGTACATGAGGATCATGATTGTGCCAAGGGATCCACGGTTTGAAGGAGACAAGAATCCAAGGAGAGCAAAGAGAATGGTACAGCCTGTCATGCAGAACAGCTGAACACCATTGCCAGCCAAGACTGAGAGCAGAAGAGGACGCGAAGGGGTTCGGAAGACATCGCCATGGACCAGCTTCCAGCCAGAGTCTTCCTGAACACCATCCTCAACAACTGAGGTACCGCCAAAGTCGTCGAGGTCGATCTGGTCGAGTCTGTTATAACGAGCAATATCCTTCTTGAGAGCGCGGACCAGGATGGACATGACAGTGAGAACAAGAATGACGACAATGATAGCAGTATCAATAAGCCAGAACCAGTGGATCTTGGGGTCAAACACGTGCAAGTACTTGTCCCATCGAGTGGCCCAGGCAGTGTCTGACTTGCGCCAGATCACGCTGTAGCTGAAGGTAACATGCTGCTCGCCTCCGGACAAAACGATGGGCGGGTGGTTGGCGCAATCAGCCTTGCCGCCATACTCCTTTGAACTTGGCTGCACAACCACACCGACGACACGGCGCTGGTTGGGGTCCTTGTTCACTTCATGATACTCGACGGCGATTTCGTAGTGGTTATTGAACAGAATGTTGTCGTCCTTGTCATCCTGGCCGAGCAAGAATCGGGGGTTGTAAAAGGTGGTGCCAGTCAACTGATCTAGAACTTCCTGTCCAGCTGGCAATCCGTCCACAAGCCATTCCAGACTGTATCCCTGTTCGATGCGGCTTTTGACGAATTGAACCGATTTCTCAGTATACTTGACTTCGCAAAGGGGTTTGCAGGTCTCGTTCTTGCCCATGATAAGCTCAAAGGGAGAAGTCATGATACGGTCTCCGAAGAGAATACTACCCAGACTTTCCGATACATATTGAGGGCCGCCTTCAGGTTGACAGAATTGGAACGCAGGGTGGTAGTAGTCGTATGAGACAACGGCGTGTAGTCGCGGGTCTTGGGAGCGGTCGACAGGCTTGATGCTATTCACGTAAAGCGGAACCTTATCTCCCTCTTTGTAGGTAGTAGGGGCTACACCAGGGAGATAGAAGGCAGAGGCCAGCTGTGGTATAGCTAACAATGAGCTGACGAGCGCCGTACGAGGCGCAAAGTCTCGGAAATGCATATTGGAGAATTAGATCATGCGCAGACCGATAGAGGGTAACAAAGAAGGATTGCGAAAGCCGAGATGTGAAGCTGTCGATCAAAGCTCCAGCTGACGACGACTTGCGCGGCCCGCAATTTCGAGTCGATGAGGAAGGAAAATGGAAATCCTAGTAATCACTGAGAAATTCCCTCAGTTTCTGCCTCTTGTATCGTCCGGTCAATGATATAAAGGATCGTGTGGTGAATCAAGCCAGCGAAACAGCTGCGAGAGTAAATCATCAAACAGGGAGCTTCAAGGCACTTGCTGTAATCTGTCATGGAGATATTAGCTGAGTCAGGAGAATGAGCCACGCACTGAAACAGGGGATTTGTGGCGTTTGTGGCTGTCGAGGCAGGAATGTGGAGACCAGCCAAGAATGCCCCGCTAAAAAGTTGAAGTACTCCAAACTTTTCGACAAGACATGACTTTCCAATTGTCTAGAGATTTCAAGTCTCAGGCAAATAGATCAACATGGCAGCACCTACAACACTACCGGCGCTACTGACGTCGCTAACCCAGTCTCTGTCATCAGCACTCGAGGTCACACCAAAACTCGCAACTATCGAGCACCAGAAGGATGGCATCTCACTTCTCGATGTGAAGAATGAGCTTCTACTGTCATATCTACAAAACCTCGTTTTCCTGATTCTACTCAAGTTGCGCAACTCGAAATCAAACTCGGATAAAGCTGAAGATGAATCCGAACTCGACGAATCTGTGAGGGCAAAGCTGGTGGAACTACGACTTTACCTAGAAAGGGGAGCCCGGCCGTTGGAAGAGAAGCTGCGCTTCTCCATTGATCGCTTTCTCCGAACGGCGGACGATGCAGAGCGTGAGAGACAGGCAAAAGAAGCCAAGGCCGCCGCTGGATCAGATTCTGAGGAAGAAGAGGAAGACTCAGAGGAGGAGGCAGATGCTGAGGCTCTGTCTCATAAGCCCGGTAACTTTGGAGCCATGGCTGATGATGTTACCGCTCGCCGTGCGGAGCGTGATGGAGGAGCTGCAGGTGTATACCGCCCGCCCAAGAGAGACCGCGCCACAATGGATGCGCCTCAACGACGCGAGAAGCACGACCGTCGCGCCGGCAAGTCTCATACCATGGAGGAATTCGTTGCTTCAGAGCTGTCCAGCGCACCTTTGGCGGAGCCCAGTATTGGTACCACAATTGTCCAGGGCGGTCGCAAGATGAAGACCGACGCCGAGCGAAAGGAGGAGGCAGAGCGCCGAGATTACGAGGAAATGAACTTCACGCGTCTCCCCAAGGAGAGCAAGAAAGATCGAGCTCAGAAGGCGAAGCAGGCTGGCCGCAGCAACCGCATGCAGTTTGGTGGCGAGGATTGGCACAACCTGGGAGTGGGTGTCGACCGTATCGATCGTCTTACCAAGCGCAAGCAATCAGGTGGAAACGTTCGTGCTCTTCTGGACAAGAGCCGAAAGCGTGGAATCGACACAACGGATGGACCTCGAGGAAGCGGTATGGGAGGTGGTATTGGAGAGAGATTCAACAAGAGAGTCAAGGTATTGGAGGGTGGACGTCGCGACCGTGGAAAGGGTCGATAGACGGTTTGATGTTAATAGATATGTTTTCTGGCTTCTGGGATCCCAGAAACGAAACGATCTACGGATATCGTTTCATGGCCATATGCCTGCTGGATGCAATGGAGTTCAAAATTTGGGTTGCGTGTGGAGAAATTATCGAAGCAAATAGGCTGCTTTACTGGAAAAGCATCACAAATGCAGTAAATACATCTCCCACCTAGGATTAAGATTCTATTAAAATAAGTCAGCTACTTATTACAATTGGGACATGACTGAATGCTCTCATCTCTGGGTTGGACTCTCGAATTGTTGTCACTGATAAGATAACGGTCTAACTAAACTTTGGCGGGGGACGAACATGGAAATTTCTCTACAACCGCCCCTCCCAGCGTTGACTTCCCTTGGACTTGCAACCTTGAAGCCGACTTACTTCACACCTAAACCCTGTCGCAAAAACGGCCAAGCTTAAGATACTGGTACAAATCCCGTATATAAACTCGGGATCGACATACGAGCCAAGGGTCTTCTAGAAACAGCTGCGCATTGTGGTTGTCGCAAAGCGAACTTGGAGCGACGTAGAGTCATTCAAACCGAAAAGCGAATAGTAAGGGCTAGCCAGCTTCTTGACTAGCAATTTCTGGACAAAAGCTCTGTTTTCTTACAAACAATCTCATAACATGTCCACAACGTCGAATACACCGGCCCCCACGGCCTCAATGGACACTGATGAGATGGACGTCGACTCGAGCGTCAAGCCCTCCACAACCAACAATCCCACCACGATAGATGACGACGACGATGACCCCGTCACCGCAACATACAATGTCTTTATCAACCCTTCTCTACCTTTAGGCCGCCGCCTTCTTGTTCTCCAACATCCAAACCGAACCGATGACTCTTCACGACCTCCACCAACCGAATTGCGCGTGAAGGCACAAGCTGGCATGGTTGAGGTCGATGTACCCCTCGACAACACAGTCGCCTATGACCGTGAGAAGGGCCAAAAGTGGGGAAAGACATTGCATGCTTCTATGGCTACAAAGAATGGCGGCAGTCATGGCTTGGCTGGTGGTTTTGGCTTTGGTACGGTCCAGGCTCGAGGCGGCAGGAAAAAGGCCGAGGATGAACAGGAGAACATGGATTGGGCAGAGGCTGTTAGGCAGGATAAAGTGCTCCGGACACAAACCCTTGGTGGGCAGTATCCTGAGTATAAGGAGGTTCAGCATATGGTTGGTGTCTTTCAAGGCAGTAAGTCGCATTGGCTCTTGAGTCCATATATCTTCTAACCCATTGCCAGAGGACTTACATCTCACACCTGTATCATCACTTGTTCATCTACGCCCACAACTTCACCACATTGACGCAACCGTCCAACAAGCACGACAAGACGCAGCTACCAAGGAGTCCGCTCCCAGCACAGCAGCCGGCACTGCTCGCGCAATTCACATGACTGTCAAGGCTACTGGCGATGGCGATACCGTTACCACCGAAACTATGGCTGATCGTCTACGAGCCGTGCAGACAGAGCACTGGCGAACTATGCACTACACAGATGAGAATGAGGAGGCTGCCTGGGAGGTTTATAACGAAAGCCTCTTCCTGCGCCCTGCTCAAGAGGAGGCCGCGGAAGAAGCAGAGAAAGCCGATGGGGCGGAGGAAAATGAGCCACCCCTTGAGGAGTCTGTGCCAAAGTTCGCTCGTCGATGGGATGACGATGAGCTTCTTGAGGCCGTCAGCGGTATTAAGAAACCACAACCCGCCCCAGAACCTGTTAAGGAAGATCCCAAGCCAATTGCTCCCGCCAAACAGCCAGAGCAACCTACGCCAGGGGCTGACGAGGCACGGAAGCCCAAGCTTCGACCACGCGGTGGAGCGGCGGGAACCGTTCCTCGACGGGGAGGTAGACCTCGAGCTACAGCTTCAAAGACGGCCAACGTTGATGGATGAAGAGTGGACTTTTGGTGCTAGAAGTAAACACAGGGGACTAAATAGGTTGCATGGGACGGCGCAAAGGATCTATCAACTTTACATAAAGAATTCAAAAGTCACAGTATAGAAAAGGTTTGCCAAACACGCGTAAAATTTGCAAATACGATATAACCTATTTCCTCAATGGACAAGAGTCCTCCCAAACTCTCACCACGAGTTAGTGATGATCATCCGACTGTAATGCCGGCATCCATGAAAGCGCTAAGCAATCGCCATATCAGGGGTTAGTAATTTTGTACACCCAGTATGCCTATACGCTGAACCGCTCCCAATAATATTTTCGCCAGCATGTAAACCCTGTTTGTTGTGTTGTGTTGCATCCTGCATATCCCGGTCGTCTTGAGCGCTCTTATATGCCAACCCAAGAAAAAAGCCCAAGAATCACCGACAATAGCCTGTATGCATGCTCATAAAACATATGTTTACTGGAGAAGCTCGACATCCAAACCAATGGATCGCATGAACAAGTTGACACTGTTCAGCCGCTCTGCTCCCATAACGGGAGGAAGAGTCTTTGAAACAGTGACAGTGTCGAGCACACGGTCCTTGACAGCAAGGACCAGACGAGTTTGTTGATCGTGAGTGGCGCTGACGCCCATAGCTGCAAGAAGCTGCCATACATAGACGTCCTCTCCAGTGTTGACGCTACCAGGGAAAATGTAAGGCAGCGAAGGTTCGAGTCTACTGAACAAGATCTCAAATGTTCGATCCCTGATGCTTGTTAGTCAAAGCAGAGATTCACGGTCCAGGATTTACATACCAGTTATCCCACTGCTCAGGAGTGCCGGCGCCTGTCTGTTTGAGAAGCACGGCACGACTGAGAATAAGTGTCAACATGGACACACCAATTCTTGATCTAGCAATGAGATCAACGTTGAGCTTGGTGGCAATCAGATTCAAAACTCCATCAACAATATCCAGGCCAGTGTCGTTGAAATATTGCATCAGCGATGGCATGACAGTAGAGATGAAGAGTTCAATCTTCTCTCGCATTCGTGCGTTGATTGTTGTCACCTCGCCGGGTGTGATGGCAGCGCCCTGAACGACATCCAATTGATCGAGATGATAGATAATCATAGTCAAGATAGTAGTTCGTTGTTCAAAAGAGAGATGAGGGAAAAGACGAGGAATGGCCTTCTCACCCTTGGCACAAGACAAGAAAGCGATGAATGGATGGGGGACAACAACTCCAATCTGTTCGTGGACCTTAAGCTCTTGCCAGAGCCTGGCATTGTAGGTCTCTAGAATGGTGGCCCACTCCTTGTGCTTGTTCTCGAGCTCCTCATCGGGGCCGGTCATAGGTGGTGGGATAAGTCGAACATGGTCCTCAATTTGCATCAGGGTCTGATAAACCTTCTCGACGTTTCGAAGGATGGTCTTTCGATCAAGGCTAGATCCCTTCTTGCCATTGTTGGGGCGCTGATGCTCACTCTCGGTCCGCTTGATGCTGA